ACGTGCGAATTCAAGTGCATATGACTCTCACAATCCATGCTGCAATCTACCAAATATTCGTTGCCAATACCCCATAATATTGTTTATTTCGAAGCAATCACTAATGCTGGTACGAGCGACAGTTTGAAGCGAATCTTCATTCAACGAAATCAAGATGATTTCTGCGTTACGTTGTCTGTTCAGAAAAAGCTTTTTCAAAACTGCACGACTTGCCTCTTTGGATGCTCATATTTAAAATCCAACACATTTTCAAACGCTCAATTCACATCCGAACAGTTTCTTTCTACATCGAATGATTTATTCACTAGAGCGAGAGAAGAAAGTCCTGTATTCCCATCTTTCGCTCAGAATACCGATAAATGGAAAAGATGTAGCTTAAGTGTCTATGTAGCCATAAAAATGGCGAACCGTATCACAGTGATTGTAATTTAGAATGCTGAAGTAAACTTATGGGTTGAATTTAACATAGGAACATTGACTACGATGACACTATCTTGAAACATGTTTATTGCCCAAAGTCAATTTTGGACAATTTTTAAGGTGATTTTGATGCACCCCATTCGAATTCTGATAACAGCAATATTAGCTAAAGAAATTCACATCCATTCACAGGAATGAACACCATAAAGAAATGGTTTTTCTGTTATTTTGTGAGGTCAAAAAGTTTCATTCGTATATACATATATTTGTCAAATACAAACATGATATCTCGACAAAAGATCAGAGCCTTACAAATATCACTCCTGATATTATGTGTTTCATTTTATTTCCGCATGAGGTATGTCAATTTTCCTCACGACGCGTCCATGTTTAGGATATAACCATAGTACCATAGATAGTTTGATTTAACATTGCCCGCAGAAGGCGGACACCAGGATAAAGTACTTTGCAAATCAAAGTTAGATGCAGGGTGCGAAATTGGCTCTGTAACTTTTTAAAGGGTGTCCCAATAGCAACGCAAAAAAGTATTTATAAAAAAAACAATGAAAATAGTTTCCAATTTTCCAAATCTTTATTGTATGTTGTAGTTTGGTCTTTACCATTCATGTATGAAAAAGAATATCGTGCAAATGTCCACCACGGCTCTTTTCACAGACCTTCAGCCGCTTGCCCAAATTTTCAATTACAGATTCGAGTAATGGCACATTTACGGTGGCTATGACACGTCTGATTTCAATTTTCAGCTCGGCAATGGTGCTTGGTTTGTTGGCATAGACTTTATCCTTGACGTAGCCCCAAAGAAAATAGTCCAATGGCGTTAAATCGCACGAACGAGGCGGCCATTCCACTTCGGCCTTTTGAGAAATGATGCGATTTGGAAAACGTTCTTCGATTACCGCTAATGTTTCAGGTGTTGTGTGTGGTCTGGCGCCGTCTTGTTGAAACCACATGTCGGATAAGTCCATGCCTTCAATTTCCGACCAAAAAAAATACTGCAACATCTCACGATATCGCTCGCCATTGATGGAAACGGCTCGACCATCATCATTTTCGAAGAAATACGGCCCGATGATGCCGCCGGCCCATAAACCGCACCAAACAGTGCAACGAGCTGGATGAGCTGACACTTCTTCAGTTTCTCTTGGATTTTCGCTTCCCCAGAATCGACAATTTTGGCGATTCACACACCCATTCAAGTGAAAATGAGCCTCATCCGAAAAGATCACTTTCTTCAAAAAATCAGCATCCGCGGCCTCTTTTCCTTTGACCCATTCGACGAAATCTCTTCGTTTTCCGTGGTCCATCGGTTCAAGTTCTTGAGTGAGGACAATCTTATAAGCGTGTAGACCCAAGTCTTTGGTGAGAATACGCCATGTGGTCATCCTAGAGAGGCCAACTTGTTGAGAACGTCGACGAACCGAGGTTCTTGGCTCGTCCTCCACACTTTCACTCACAGCAGCAATATTTTCGTGCGAGCGGGCCGTTCGCATACGGGTTGATGGTTGATCGTCTAACACAGAGCCAGTACGCTCAAATTTCTGCACCAGGCGACTGATGGTGGACACATTTGGTCGATTATTTCGGCCGAAAAATTCACGAATTGCACGAAACGTATTTTGCAAAATAGACCCATTTTCGTAATGGGATTTAACGAGTTGAACGCGTTGATCTTCACTTAATCTTGACATGGTTATAAATGGTATAGATGGACGCTTCAAACTGACATTCCAGTTTGACAGATCCATCATGAAATCCCTATTGAAAAACTTTTTGCGTCCCTATTGGGACACCCTTTACGAACGACAAAAATCCGGCGAGACATAATCAGGATGATAAAATGCGGCTAGCATTAAAATCAGGATGAAATTCCTGATTCTGTCGCATTCCAGATTTTTGTTCATCCTGATTTTTGTTTATCCGACACTGCACCTTCTTGACAGTTCTCATATAAATGAGCGCAGAAGCGCCAACTGGTGCAAGAACATGTAATACAACCGTTGTATACCAATAGTATTCAAAAGCACACACGTTGGGTATACTGTTATTGACTGTTTTGAATAGTAGTTCTTGCACATAAAAACATAAAAATCTGCTTGCATTACACTGATATCTCTCTTATTCCATTGATATTTTTTCCAAATGAGAAAAAAAATATTTCAAGCCTCAATTGCACAGCATATCACTATTAGAATCATTGTGTCAACATGAATCAACCAATAAACAAACCAAAACAAAGACAAACCACACAATGACAACCACGTTTGTATAAATATAGCAATCACTTGAAGAGAAAACCTCGAAAAAAAACATGTTTCAATAAAAAAAAATTATTATAATATAATCGTAATTGTGTCCTAAAATCGTAAATAGACCCGGTAAATATAAAATTAAATGAAATTTTTGTGTTTTCACGTGTTTTCATCAACATGAATAACTGCGACAAATGTCACTTCATGTTGTCATTGAAACAATCGGAACGTCAAACGTCAACAAATGAACTGACATTAGTTCGCAATTCTTCAATCAAAAAATGGAAAACCGATTCCGGATTCGGACTCAGGGGAGTTTGTACTGGCTGCATGCAAAGCCGCAGAGTTTGTACTCAAACTGGGCCCAAATACAAACTCAACAAAGTTGAAAATTTCAGAAAAAATGAAAAATCTGTATGGCGGCTTCACCCAGCGTATTGGTTAGCGTGCTAGCGTTGCAAGCGTGGGGACACGGGTTCGAATCGCATGGTGGTCGAAAATCTTTTCTCTTCAAAATGTCATTGGTGCCATCAATTAGATTGTGAATTGAGAGACTACGACCCATGTGGAGGCCTGTGGAGTGCTCCGGGAGGCACTTTAAGCCGTGGGATCCCGTGCATTATGTACAGAAGATGAGTACAAATAATGCACGTAAAGATGGGGCGCCTATACGCTAGGTTGTTGTCTCCAATATTCAGTATTGGTTGCAATCACCGCTAAAGGATGTTGCCTGATATTGGTGAATACATCGGTATATCAGTATCAGAAGCATGTCCCCATCGAAAAAAACTCGAGAGAAAAATTGGCTCTATGGATTGGATACGGAGCGTGGCAAATGTTGAATGTGATGTGGCCCACTAGTGGTGGAGCCCGAGCCGAGCCCCGTATCTGGCAGGTACAAGGCACATCACAAACCAATGGGCCCTCCACAATCGACGAATGGTGTGCAAAGAATCCACCCGAAAAAAGCGGGCGCCTCGCAATAGACTGAATACAGCCTGAGCGACGAGTCTCTGACTCCCTGCACTTATCCAATAATCCAATAATGCAATGGCGGCTTCATCTTCATTCGTTATATGTAACAACACATCAACACACCAACACATTGACTTAATTGTAGAAGTCATTTCGTCATGCGTCATTTACAATATCACCTCATCCTTGTGTGTGGTGAAAAGTGGAGTATATTTACTTTTTTTTACTTTTTTATTATTTGTGCCATGTAGTAATTCAAGTTAATTTCAAGAAAAAAAAATGTGATGAATTCTTCTTCCGATTTTAAAAATTGCGCAAATACAGAATCAGATGAAAAACCTCTAGATTTACCACTCAAAAAGACTGATATCATTTTGAGTGACGCTAGGAAGCTGTATTATCACTGTATACGAGGTTCAAAAGTATTTTTCGCATTCTCTATTGTGAAAATTTACTCACAATAAGGAAAAATATCGCATCACGACTTTTGAATTTAGATCAAGTTTTCAAGCGTTTTGCCGTCTTAAAGTCTTAGACCGGCGTTGGAAAGTTGTTTACAAACGACGGCACAAGCGATACACACACAGACATTGTGTTGACACACGAAGAGTGTTCAAAGAAAGAAGTGAGCGAAACATGTGCATGCACGCTCCGCGCAGCTCATCGTAAGTGTGAAGCTAGGGGGAAAAATCGTTTTTTTCATCTTTTATATCCGCACGCATCAAGTAATAACTTAGAAATTCAATGGTATGCATGTAAATCCGAAATATCCATGTATATTCAACAATATTCATCGTGAACGACGAATGAATATTACTGAATATACATAGATATGTCAAATTTACGTGTATATGAATGAAAAATAAAATTAATAGTGAATCAATCCTTCAACCGTAAATTTGATTGATTTTGGTAGATAACGGTGAATATTGGAACATTTTTTGTCATTACAGTCGAATGAATATTATTAAATATACATAGATATTTGAGATTGACGTGCATACCAGTAAATTTGTGCAGATTGTATCGTCAAAAAATGTTCCAATATTCATCGTTATCCACCAAAAACCTTCAAAATTGGTTCAAATTTTCGGTTGAAGGTTTGATTCACTATTATTTTTATTTTTTCAGAGTTATTTGCGTTCTGCAAAATCGCGTGAAGCCCCTAGAATAATTCATTGTCCAAAAAAAAAACGAAAGAATAAGAATAAATTCGAGCCACGTCCAAAGAATGTTGCTAAAAGTCAATAAATAAAACATGGTATTTTTTTTCTTATAAATTTTCAGAACTGTTTCCTTTTAGTTTATTCCACAACAATAAAGCGTCATTAGTGATTTTCTTGTCTCCAATATGAATATTTTTGTTGGTTTTAATTGTATGATTTCAATGTTTTCCATTTGTTTTTTTTCTTTCATTTACGGTTTTTAAATCAAAAATCACAAAATAATTGATTGACATGATAATAATTAGATTTTTGCATATGGTTTATAACTTTGTCTTTTGTTTCTGTCTATAAAAACCAATCCCTGTTCAAATACATATATAATCTGTCGTCCAGCAGAAGAATATCAATGCGGAAAGTGATGCGACCACAAGAGATTGAACAAATCTGGAAGCAATTCAATGATTGACTGTCACACGAAAATTCGTCTCTCTATCTATTACACATTTCAGACATTTTTTTAAACACAGATTCTCTTTTAAAAAAAATTATATAAAATATTACTGCGACCAAATGAATGTTGTTGTCTTTCGTCCACAATATCTTTCACATGTTTTTGTTTGTCATCATGAAAACATTCTTAATTATTAACCATCTAAATATAGAAATTTAAGGTATAAAACTGTAACTTTAAGTCTATCCATTCGGTTTTTTTTTTGTTTCTTCTTTTTGTTTTAATTAAACTGTTGTGTGATCCTTATTGAATGATGTTGTCACTGTCCTCTATTTGCCATTCAATCAACGGGTATTTGAATTGGTTGCTGAGCACTTTGTGTATTTTTCTATATTGTTTTCATGTTGATTTTACTGTGTAGCTGTTGTTTACCATTTTTTCTTGTGTTCGTCCATTGATACACCACCCGGGCCGAGTGACACAATCATCAAGAGTCCACCAATCACGGACAGAGTCTGAAAATTGTGGATAAATATTTGAAAACAATGAAATTGTGTACTTTTGAACTCAACACACATGAACATTCAAATTGGACTTTGCATTGCTTTGGATGTTAACACAACAATTTATCACGATAAAAAAATTCTTACCTGAAAAAAGTCATATTTCAAGAAGTCGCGCAATGGTTTGTGTGCTGGAATTGACCACCATGCATTGTAGTACAGGTTCAACATTGAGAGCAGGAGCACCAAGGCAAGAGCTGACAATTTGGTTTTGTAACCAATTGTGACCATCACCATGAGGATTGAGCCGAAAATGTCTTGAATCACTTGAAGCACCGACAATTCGAACCGCAACAATGTGATGAACATGAATGCCAACAAAATGCGACCGGCCAATTGCAAGATGTTCTTTGGCTTGTTTTCGCCGAGTGATGGAACACCTGCAAACAAGCTTCGACCCTCAACTCTGGATTCGGCCAAAACTAACAGCAATGCACCAATCAATGCAAAATTACGGAACAAGAAATGGAAATCCCATAGAATTGAGTATGCGACAGTCTGAAGGGAAAAAAATGATTCAGAAAATTATAAATCAAATGGAACTTTTTCACTTCGATTGGTTCCGTTTTTTTTTTGTCACTTTAAATCTTTTCTTGTTGTTGTCGCACTGTCTTACCTGAAGAACGACGATGAAAAATAGCATACCACATGCTATGTCAACCTTGAATCTAGTGATAACCAGAGCACAACCGCCCAACTGTCCAAAAAGATTCACTAGCACAAACACCGTCGCCAAAAACTGTAAATTTTTAATGAAATGAGAACGAAATATGAAAAATGTGTTAACCAGATGTTTAATAAAAGACAATGATGAAGCTAATTATCATCAATATTCAAAAATTACCTTTCCACATCCCCAACTCATGTCCATATATTCTCTTTGTTCATTCCATTGGAACCACATACGCAAACCATCCTCGAAGAATGTAGCTATCAAACAAAATCTTGCTATCGTCGGGAGAACGTGTTTTCCTTTTCTGATTACCTGTCATACCGACCGAAAAAAAACACATTCAATTGCTTTAGTTTGCAAAAGATTCAATTTCGAAAAAAAGTGAAAGTTCATCATATGGTTGACTCGAGCAAAATTACAACAACAATAACCATGAAAACATAGACTTCCATTAATCCATATTTATGTAAATTTCAACGCTACCAACAAAAACACACATATCCGTATTCTCTGATGATTGGCAATTGAATTAGGTTAAGTCGAATTTAGAATAAAAACCAACTTTTATTCATTCCATCTGATCGAAATTCCAAACAATACCGTATAAAATGTGGAAATCTGGGTAAACTGAATGCGCGTCAAGCAATTTGCCCGCTTACGATTATAACTGTGAATGCATACGTGAACAGCAGCAAAGAGATCGGATTGGAAATTGATCATTGAATAAATGAATTTTTTTTTCATAGCGAAATTCGATTCACGATTCCGATGTAATCAAAGTATGGGATTCGAAGATATGACCGATGAAAATCGAACTGTAATGGTTCAGCTACAAAGATGACGTTGGCATAAAAACTGGTAAATGTGCCGACTTAGCGCTCGCTACAGTTTTCTCAACTTGTCTATTTTAACCGATGTTCTATTCGGCTCTGTTGTTTATCTCTTGCCAATTTGTGAAAAAAAAAACCTTTGCACTGTGTTATGTGATGAAGAGAAAAAAAAATATATCGTTTCTGGGCCACATACCTGGTCGGCAACATCTTCTGTTCGTGAAATGTATTCATTTGGAATATTCATTTTTTCAATATATATTAAATTTTCTTATTTCGCGGATAAAAAGAAAACAAACAGATTATGAATACTGCACTAAAATTCCGACGTGTAATTTAAAAAACCAAAAAAAATTTAAATCAGAATTGCTTAATTGCTATTTAAAAATTATTATATTCTATTGTTCGTCCAAAATATCGTTCATCTGTGTGGTCAAAGTCAAATGAAATGATAAACATGTACACGACGACGACTGTCGCTCCGAATAAAAAAAAAACGTTCCAACACGATACACATATACACCGAAACAAATAGTATCAGCAACTAAATATGAACTGTATTACGGCATGTATCGCCGAAAGTCGCTTTTGCCTGTGATGACCGAAACTCAAGTTAAAAACGAAAACAGAAGAAAAAATAGCGAAATGATGTGGAACATTGCCACCTTATTGTACAATTCCTACTACGGTTTGGCACATTCTGACAGTTCGGCGGCGAATTTAAATAGTCAACAATTTGTTTGTTAGTTTTTCTTAAACTGAACAAGGAATGATTTATACTGAATTTTCCTTGGAATCGTCTCAATTTAATGGTTTCCTTTGTTTTTCAATTTGTTTTTATTCCCAAAAAGGGGAAAAAGAAAAGAAAATGCTGAGAAAGTTCATAATGTAAAGTAACCTTTATCTTCGCCCGTCATGAAATGTCAAAGTCCATGAATCACATATGTCATTGCACGGCAACATTCAAAACGTTTCATCGAGTTTGTTTGTGTATCACCACAGAGTGAGAGATTTTTTTGCAAAGAAAATAAGAACGAATTCTCAATCGAACGCATCAAAATGATTGAAATCACCTGCAACGATCGTTTGGGCAAAAAAGTTCGTGTTAAGTGCAATCCAGACGACACGATTGGAGATCTGAAGAAATTGATAGCAGCTCAAATTGGCACACACTACGACAAAATCATCCTGAAGAAATGGTACCGCATCTTCAACGACAATGTTACATTGGCCGACTGTAAGTGTTGAATTATCAGTAGCTAGATATTTAAAAGGGTATCAAGATTTATTGTTTTAAAATTTCCAAATCGTTCTTCACAAATCCATTAATAAATCATTTCTCTTCTTTTTTTCAGACGAAATCCATGACGGCATGAATTTGGAGTTGTATTATCAATAAGCATTTGAAACACCATCCTCATCATTCTTCTAATTAAACTTTAATCGTCGAATAAAATTTTATAACAAATTCAAACTAAATGCAATGGCCTGTTATTTTGTCTATGGAGAATTTTGTTCCGTGTTTTTATTGTTATTTTTTCGCTTACAAACAATATCAAACTGTTTTTGCATCAGCGGATGCATCAATTGTTCTTCGTCTAATTTATAGTCTTGTGGTCGATCTCTTGTCAACACTTCGGCGTGTTCGTTCCAAAATTGATCCTTTATTAAATCGACGAAAAACGGAACAATCGCTTGAGTTCGTTTTCCATCTAATTTCGGAACTTCAACATTTTTTCGCAGTAGAATCGTTCCTTTTCGATACATTTGAGGAAGATTATTATAATTTATGCCGAAACGTGAAAACAGAATCTCATTTTTATCGGCTGAAAACGTTCCGGAAAGGTCTTCTTGTGCTTCAACGTTGGTTCGACCACCTTCAAGGACCAATTTCCAAAAAACTGTATTGTATAGATTGTTGATATGGGTGTCGGCCTGCCGCCAACTGAGGTAATTACGCATATCCTCATCGCTGGGATACAAAACGACTCGTGCATCAAAACTCGGTGGATAGAGTAATTTTTTCGGCTCACAGAAAGTATTCCAGTAGAATACATAGGAAGATGTGAATAAACTATTGATACACGTCAAAATTTTACTTTCCCTTCGGTTATACACCTCAGCTGTCTTGTGAAGAACGAAGGAATACTCGTCACTTTGACCGAAAGCGATTACAATCTCATTGAACTCCTTCATCACCTGTACCGCCGCATAACTCATCAGATTTAAACCTATAAAATTGAATGAAAATGCTCAATAACGGAATTTTATTCATCGTATTATCATCCATACTTACCATTGTCATCATTGGGTTTAGCGAAATCATGCTTTTTTGTAAATTTATGAAATGCTTTGCCGTCAATGCGCACGACAATCCAACAATTCGGCAGAATGGCATCGTTCTTTTCGAAATTCCGAACATAGTCAAATTTACTGTTCGCCATCGGTGAACTTTTACTTAAAAATCGTTTCGATACTAAACTTATTACATTCGCTGCCTTTTTGCGACACAACAGATTCAACATTATTTACAATTGCTAGGAGTAACGATTTGGAGGTTATGTTTATGTTGGAACTAGTCAATTTGCACCAAAAGATAAATATTGCCCCTATTGGTAAAACGTGTTTATTTACGCATTCACTTTTGGATATTTGAGTATTGAACATTTATACCGTTACAAGCAGATTCAATGTGAATGAGACTAGATTTGCTTTATTTATGGCCAAATTCGATTTTTGTCAATCTGAAAAATTGAATTTAAGCTTTTTTGGGAACTTTCTGAAAATGAACACTATTTGTTTAAAATCAAGGCTGAGTCCGAATGTTCGAGCATAAAATTCAAAATTTAGTATGATTCGATGCAAAGCAGTTATTTTTGAAAATTTTCCCAATTTTTGACTAATTTTAGCGCATCTTAATTGGCCAAAACGGTTGAAAATCATCATTTTATAGCCACATTCAGTGTTGAAATCAGACAACGCCAATAAATTAATCATATATTCGAGAAATGCTACAAAAATGAATCTTTGTTGTTGTTTTTTTCTGTAAATAATTTTATTGAAAATGTTCAGCGTCAGTGATACATCAAATGAAAAAAAAGAGTTTACCTTACGTGCCAAATGCTATTACATATAAACAGTTAATCAAATATATTTTCGAGTTTATTTCTCTCAGATGTTTGTCCAATGTCCATTCAATTCGTTATTAACTCTCCTGCACTTACAATTGAAATCATGAAACTAATTTCGTGTCATGGGTATGGTCTTAAAACGGATTTATAAGGTATGCATAAGCAACTTCAATTATTATCGAATCTATTTCGTCTATTTATGGTTATAATTCCAATAGGATTATTTGATGGTTCTTTTTGAATAATTTATATAGCATTTTAGTTTGTTCTTTTCCAAAAATTACATTTAAGCTTACACAGTTGAACAGGAAAAAATTGCAATTTATTTAGAGTTCGTCTGTATATTGTTGCGAACTAGGTTCCGAGTCGGAACTACCGATAAAGTTGAATGTATATATATTTCAACATAAACACTCTAAGTGAATTCATTTTTAACCGAACTGTATAATAGGTTTGTTAATTTAAATGCGTGTCAAGTATAAAATTTGTTAATTAGTTTAGACTTTTAGAGAGTTTTACACGTATGTTACATTGAAAGCAATAGTATCACACAAACAATCCAACAAAACAGAGATAAATTATGTGAATTTTAATTTTTTACTTTCTTCTTTACGCTCAAATTTTTTTCGTAACACTATGAGAATCGATCAATGGAGCTTTCAATGAACGTTTAAAGTGAAAAAAATGTCTTCGCCATAACTGCGCATAGAAGTGGTACAAGGATTAAATGCCAAAAATTATCATTTCATTGAAAATTACTGGTTTTTTAAATGAACTTTTTCAAACATGTCTGATGTACCCAACGCTTGTATACACAGTTATGTGGAGATGTAAAATTTAAAGCGACCCAAATGACTTACAGTAAATTTGAATAAATTATAATGTAAACTGCACTTGCGGTTTAATTTATTATTATCATTATAACTAGTATTATTTTTTAGCAATAATCCTTATGATTACCGTGTATTTCTATCGATTTCTTCTTCTTTTCCATTGATTTTATTTTCTTCCACATTCTACTTTCATTCAATGTCATTGTCATTGTCTGTATAAAACTAAAAGCGTTAGCGTTGTTATAAATGCTGCCATTTTCAAATTCTGCTGCCTATTCGCACAGACGACAGAATTAGCAATCGATAGCGAAAATAAGCCGAAATGAGGAAAAGGATGATAAAAATATATCGAATTGAGTTTAAAGGCTGAAGGTTTAGCAGTTACCCTTTAGCAGCTGCTCATACTTTCACAGTAAATGATATTCTACAATTTTCACTTGACTTTTTATAAGAATTGTGATGATGATGATGATGATGCGGGCGATGATGTGAATATATAAAAATATATTTCCTTTTGTGGTTTATGGTTTCTAAATCAAATGCGCAAAGCACTAATTGCATTGTGATGCAAATGAACAGTGAAAATGTCACTGATTTCTATGAACTGTGTGATAATTGTGGAACATAGATGCCTTTCTGATATGAGTTCTATGATATATTTCAGCAATATAAAGAGGTTGTCCTTTCGAATGAAAAACTGCTTTGTTTTTCATTCCAAAGTTTAATGTCTGATGGAGATTTGAATCAGTTTCGATTCAATTTGGTGGACTTTTTCTGTTGAACACAATTTCACCATTATCAATGGCGATTTTGGAATCAACTTAATTAATCAAAAAGCACTTTGCGCGAGATTTTACATATGAATACAGTTAGTTATATTTTAGATCTCTTTCAAGATCGGCAGTGTATTATTGAGTTATTATTTCCTTCTGAATTGAACAGTTTTTGGATGTGTGTGTGTGTGTGTATCTGTATATATTCCATTTTTTATTCTATTTTATTATGAATTCTCTTTTTTTGTTATGAATTTTTTTCTCATTTTTTTTTGTTTCATCTTCATCTAAGCACAAAAAGAAAAAGTCATCAATTAAATCTAAGTCTTGAGTTAACCCATTGTCGATCTAGATTCAAACATTTCATTCATATCTTCTTCCATTTTAATCATTGATCGTTGAACAAATAATTTCAATTAAGAGGAAAAAACACACACACTTTGTGCGGACAAAAAACGATTAAAAAGCTGCAAATTGTAATAAACAAAAAAGAAACAACGGTGCATTTTGACTTTTATACTTTTAAATAATTGCAATAAGTTCAAAATGGTCAACAATGGTTGTCGATTTCCATATTCAAGCAAAGCAGGATCTCGTTTTCAAAATGAGATCTTACGGCCAAATTTGAACCGGTTAAGAGAACAAACACCGTAAGACGTTACTTTGTCAATGAGACTCCACCTTTGCTATGGAAGTAAGTAAGTTTAGACCCTGTATAAGTTTTCTCGCGTGAGTAGCAATTAAAAGTAGTTCAACCCATTCAAAGCGGGAGATTTTTTTTTGTCTAACGTGTCAAAGCCACGGCACCAAATGGTACCGTATAGAACTGTCACTTGGAATGGATTAAGCTAAAAAGGAACTTGACCCCATTCCATATCAACTTAAACTTATCAAGAACAGCCAACTACAATCTGGATGCTGCGATACAATTGAGTATAACAAAAAAAACTGGAAACACTAAAAACTGATGGAGGCAAAAAAATAAAACAAATTAAACAAATTAAAATAAATACATTTTATTTCCATTCTTAAACAAAAAAAAATGCATTTTTTTCTCTCTGATTTTCTTGCGTTCACTTCCACTTGTGTGTTAAAACCAAAAGCAAAACTTGTCTCATTTTGAATGTATTTCAAATTTCGAAAAAAAAATGTCTAAATGATTGTTTTTGTTCAATTGAAAACTATTTACAAGTTTATCATATTTTATACAAAGTCTTTGTAAAAAAAGGGAATTGTTGATCTGATGGACATGATTTGCGTTGCGGCTATAATCGGGATGTGAAATTAATTGGATACAAAATGTGCGACAAATTATCAATGAATCGTGTAATGATTTTGCCAAAATGTTGTAATTTTCTTCATTTGCTTACAGCTTAATTTTAAGTTCACGATGCATTTCAAAATGGAGTTCGCTTCAATTGTATCCGTGTTTTATAACATACATAAGCCTTTAAATTCAATAAAGTTTATTTGTGTTGTTTTTTTTTCTTCTTCAAATTCTGTATACGCTTAAAAAAATGAAAATTTAAAATAAAACGTATAAAAAAAGATGACGAACTGAGACGCGGTTGGCATTTATAGAATAATTCGGTTTCATTGAAAGTTCTGAGAATTGATTGAAAAAAGAAACGAATTGAACTGAACTTAGATGCGGAAGTAATGTGCTCGATGAAATGCATTTTGATGTAGATCCCGACGAATTTTCATTTTATTTCTATGAGAACGCAGAAACAAATTAGAAAGACATATTTCTTAAATGTAATAAAAGCTCGATTCCATAATAATTATTTTCATAGTTTTCGTTTTTCAATTCGTTAATTGGTTGATGGGATTTGTCAAAACATGACAGAAATGCTTCGAGCTCAGTCCGTGCGTTGGACAATTCGAGATGTATCGTTACAATTTTTTTTTAAGACACGAAGAGTGTGTGATGTACGTGTCGTCACAAGAAATGTCACTATTTCGTGAACAAAGAAACGTTGGTATTTATTCATTGACAAGTGATAGCTGGCCTATAAGCTGCCAAAAAATGATTGATTTTCGACAGATTGAAAACAGTTAAACTTAAACCAAAAATGTAAGGCTAAAAAAATGTTTGTCATGTAGAGATTCTTTATTCTGATCAAAATATCAGCTCATTCGATTGTCCCATTAAATCAAAAAAAAGGAAAAAAATATAATTGAATTATATTGCAAAATACAATTTAAAAAAAAAAAGAAAACAAAAAATTCAATAATTTTTTCTACTCAATGTTTTCTCAGTTTTCTTTATATACCGATTGTGTTGTGCATTTTGGTTTCTGTTTTTTTTCTCGTCTTCTTCAAAAAGCAATTCATTGGTCTACATTCATCTTTTATAATACTAATATTAGCTTTTCATTGTTGGCAATAACAAAAATATTTTTCTACAATATAAAAAAAAGAGTTGCGAGTTCCAAAAAAGATTAGCTGCATTGAAATTTGATTAGGTGCAACGAAACTAACGGGGTTAAGCGGTTAATAAGTAGACGTATGTGTTTTAGCTGCATAGTGTATTCTATTCCATCACATCTTGGGATGAGAGCAAATATTGCGATATTCATTTACATTTTAGTCGTTTGTTTTCTCTTGTTTCAGTTTCTTTGTATTGTTTGTTATGTAACAGGAACATCTGATGTGAAATTTGTCATGAATTATTGAACACGTTTTAATAACGTATCTTTTTTTGAAAACTTATTATCTTTCTTCAACATATTTTGTTCTATAACATTATCATCGAGTGTTTTTTGTTTTGTTTTGTCTGTCTGTTGTTGTTGTGAATGCTTGTTGCGTTTTGAATGATGAAAAGCGTATTTTAAATGTTTGTTTTAGACGTATGTTGCGATTGCACCACTATTTGGTGCAATATTTCCATTACCATTTGGCAATTGTGGCTTCGATGATACGGTTTGCAGCTGATGTGTTGATGGTGGACTTACCGGTGGCTGTAATTTTCCCGGCACATATTGACCAATAAATGAGCCATCCTCAGCAAATTGGCCCACTATTCATCATATTTGAATGAAATGTAAAAGAAATCAAATATAATTTAGTATTTTTATCAATTTCAATCGGATTTTCGTTAGTTAAACGACAAACGTTGTGTCATTGAGAGTCCAATTTAAGTGGTATAAAAATAGGTAATATAATATGAGAAATGGTGATGTATTTGTTTTGATGATTGATGCGATGAAATGTATCATGTGCTTTGGCGTGTCATGAATGAGGTTATTGTCAATGACTTATCGATTCAAAATGCCAATATTGAATAAAATAAAAGAAAAAAATTAATTTAGAAATTTAAAAATAAATGATAATTACCTTGGAATTTATTCTTATTACTCTTCAAATTTTGGAGGTGCAATATATTGGATGGTATGTTTTTTTGTTTGGTTGAAAAATGACAATGGAGCAACCAATTATAGATGTTTTACAAATTAAAAAATATCGCATTTTCTTCTTCTGTTTCGTCTTTCTCTCGTTTACCACAAAAAAAAATGTTTTGTCATATTCTCTTATATCGTCATTTGAAAACTATTTTACTAGTGTGTGTGAAAATATTGTAAAAAATTTCGTCTACACAAGCGTTGCAAATGCTTGTGAATTTGATTCTTGATTTCGTCCCTTCCGTCCGTACTGTCCAATAAACGAACCGTCTTCGTTCATGCCTTTTTTATATACAATTTTATAGGGGATGAAATGCAAAAAAATAAATAAATTAACAAATAAACGAAAGAATAAAAGAATGTATTGGGATAGCGGATGAATGCTATAAATTTTGAGCAGGCTTCATTTGAATGATGATGCTTGTGTGTCCCAAAATGCAGATTTATCTTGCAAATCATAAACACCAGAAGTGTTATTTACCTGTTTCGCCTTCTCCATACGCAGCCATCGAGTCACCATCATCCACTTCATCGTCGGCTTTCATAAGATTCGATGCAATCGACTGTCGACCAGCGCTCTTATTGTCCAATCTTTTGTAGAACGAATGAATATATAGAATTAGTAAATTGGCTTTAATCCGAATCAATGGGTCACATTTGGAAAAAAAAAGAAGCAAGCACACTTTGGTTAATTTGGCGCAACTTAATTGATTTCATCCAGGGAATAATGATTAGTTCGCCAATAGCGATCATTAACAATGATGATTGACAAATTACAATCATCAAAATTTTACAATAATCGGAAGCTTTAACTCAAGTTTATAAGCAAGCACAGGTTTCGCGCACCAAATTCGTTCGATTAGTAGTGAATGAAAGGAGCGGGTTAATTGTGTTTCGTAATAAATGAGATTTTCGGTTATTTGCCGGATGGAACACACAATGAATTTACACACGCCTCCTACATACTTTGCACTTTTTTCCGGAACACTTAAATGATGTGCTTTTGCTACCTCAACTATATTACTTGTGTCGGTTGTTGCCCTTCTTCAATAATAACATTGAGAAAAAATTTCATTTTGAATTGTTTTTTCTTTCTTTTTCGTTCAATCAATTCCAATCTAAGATTAAATCCGATTTAAAATCGATCATTTTTTTCTACTTACGGCTGTGAATATTCATGGAAGCCACCCTCTTCTGGATAGTCGCGTCGACCATTTGCCAATTCACGATCATAAACATCGTATTTGCCACCACGGTTCCGCTTAATAATGCATACAATGATGAGCAATAGCAACAACAATGCAATAGCCAACAACATTCCGATCAACCATCCGGCGGCGGCTAAATCTTCGCTCGGTACTTTATTTGGACCATCTGAAAGTGTAGTAAATTGGTTTTTTACCCAACGACATCGAACTTAATCTAAAACATTTCGTTACATACCAATGCCAACGGTGGGAACATCTTGAATTTGACTCTCCGCCAAATGTTCGCCATCAACAGAAATTACAATAAATTCGTAGGTTTCGTCTGGCTGCAAGCCTCGAATAATGGTGTAATCATTGTCGAGCTCATAATCGGTGCTCAACCAGACGGATTCACCCTTAATACGATACTTTGCAAAGAAATGTGTTCCTGGTTTGCCGCTTACATTTGGACGCCAGTTCACTCTGATCGTCGCAAATCCATTTTCGGATGGTAATTGGTCCCACACGAAATCTGGCGCATCTGGCGGATAAGAATCTCCGGACAATGTTTTTTCTTCGATGAAGTAACTGAGGAAAACAGAGGTAATTGTGTTAAAATTGAATAGATCTCGATCAAGAATGAAATCTTCTTTGAAGAAAAAAAACTCACTCTTCCCCTTCGCCGGCTTTTGTTGTTCCCACAATATGTAGACGATATTTCGTGTTTGGTTTCAAACCGGCCAATTTCACTTGTGTAACTCGTGGATCGGTAATATGTGGTTCTCGTTCCAGTTTATCTAGGACGGCAGTTCCGGAGACTTCTTCGTAATAGACTTTATAACCGGTCAATTGTCCATTGGGCTGCAATGGTCGTTTCCATCGCAACAAAAATGCTGACGAGCCCAATGGGAATGCTTCGAATGATTGTACGCTGCTTGGAACGCCTTCGGGCGTTTTGAAATCAACAATTGCACTAGCTGGTCCATGGTAACGACTGTTGAATGCTAAAACACGCGCATAGTTTATAGCATCCGGACGGAATTTGCTGACCAACGCTTGTGTGGTATCTCCTTTGACGTGAATCTCTCGCATATTCTCTTCACCATCAAGTTCAGTCCAAGTTTGTATTTTGTACCCCTTGAAATGACCATTGATGCTCTCGGGTGGTACTGGGTTCCAGCTCAAAATAGCTGATGTACTGCCGGTCACCTGAACCAAAGTGAAATTGGTTGGTGCTTGCGTTGGACGATCTTCACCCGAGTATCCGAATTTTTCAATTGCTGCCGTATTCGATGCACCATTCTGATTGATGGCCAACACTTTTATGCGATACCGTACGAATGTTGGCTGATCGAGAATAACGAGTTTATCCTGTTTCCAATCGTAAATGTCTTCATTGGTAAATTCTTCGGCTGGAATATCACGTTTCCATGACACACGATAGTGAAAACCGGGGCCATTGTGTTCAATTTGTGGCATGTGCGTCCATGAAATCACCATATTGGTTGGTGTGGTGCCTTCGCCTTTGACATCGTCTGGATTCTTGAAAGGCACATCTGCTTGTGTTGTGCATGCTTCACTGTGTCCGCTTGGCAGTGATGGGCCGATTTTATTGAATGCAATGACACGGAATGTATAATTTGCCCATGGGCTCATTGGAACGTTGTACGTGAAATCGGTGGCGGGAACTTTGTCATAGGCAACGTTCCAAGTTTCTGGCGTGAACGATGTGTTGTATTCAATGGTATAGTGCAAAATTGGAGCACGATTGTCACCAAGTGGTTCCCATGAGATGTACGCTTCACGAGCACGACAGCTTATACCAGTTAAATGAGGTGCATTCGGAACGTCTTGAACGATCAATGTGGCCGATGCACGTGCTTCATCCAATTCAGTTGATGCGACACAGGTGTAAATACCCGAATCAAGTTCAGCCGTTTTTGAAATAGTCAACGAGTTGTCATTAGTGCGAACGAAACGTGGTTCATTCTCAAAGTCAATCTCCTCACTATCGCTAAGCCACTTGATGTCCAAGTCCAAGGATGAATCGGCAACGGCGTTACAACGGAATGTGGCCGGATTTCCTGCGGCCACTTCATAATCCTGTGGTTCGTCTGTGATTTTAGTGTGCTCTTTCACAATCAATGAGCCACTTGCTTCAGCATCGCCCAATTTATTGTGCGCATGACACGTGTACTCGCCGGCATCAGCAAAGCTCACATCTTGAATAACTAAATCACCATTCGACTGTGTTTGATACCGACCACCAGTCAATTCCAATCCATTTCGAATCCATTTAACTTCTGGAGCTGGAGCACCAAAGACGCGACAGCGCAACGTAACCGTACGACGATCAACGGTGGCTTCCTTACGTGGTGGTTCGGTGATTTCGGGTGGCAAAGCCAAAACATTTAAGTATACATCCTTGTACACATAACCCAATGAATTGGTTGCGTTACAACCGTAATTGCCGGTATCGCTTGACTTCAAGCCTTTGAGGACAATGCTATTGGTTTTAACAACTCGTCGTGGATTTGATGCAGATTCTGCGATCGGTTTACCATTGTAAATCCATTTAATTTCTGGCTCTGGTACACCAGATGCTTCGCAACGGAACTCAACACTTTCGTCTTCGGCCGCATTTTGAATTTCCGGTTCAACCGTAAAGTATGGCACTGCATTCACTTTCAAGTTGATCGAATAGGTTTGTGCATTGCCAACACCGTTTGACGCTTCGCACGTGTATGATCCTGCGTCTTCGAATGTTGCATGCCGAATAATCAACGATTTTCCATAGTTGCCCTGCGTTATTCGATCGTTCCAATGTATCGATTTCCCGTCTTTGCTCCATACGGTTTGCGGCAACGGTGTCCCACCGTATATGCAATACAATTCCACCTTTTTACCACGTAACGCTACCTCATTTTTACGAGTAACATATTGCAACGTTGGTTGGTATCGATTTTGTGTTGGCGAAATACCCGTTTGTACGACATCCAAAAGAATTCGATTACCCAATTTATATTCATTACGAAATACTGAGGTAGCTGCACAAGCATAGTAAAAGTCATCGGATGCATCGTAACGTGTCACATTTGAGAAATGCAAATTTCCTTCGGGATCAAGTGTCATGCGGGAATTATTGATACTCTTAATGCCACCATCTGTATTTTGGATCAACCAATATACATTGGGCTTGGGCCAACCATCGGGCGGTTGACATTGCAATTTAAATGGATCACCTTCGTTGGCCGTGACCGTTTTTGGTTGTTCATCTTTGAAGGTATTGAGTTCGGCTTTGCGCACGAATACGGAATTCGATGTGGCGGTACCATGTTCGTTCTCAGCAAAACATTGATATTGACCCAAATCTTCATCTCGTGGACGGGTTATGACAATCGTACCACGACCCGGCTGCTGTGACATACGATCATCATATGCTTGCCAATCGAATTTTTTGCCGTTCTTTATCCATCGGTATCTGGAATAAAATGGGAGAAAATAAATGGATTTTTAGATGGATATAAAATGAATGGTTCTTATTGCTATTCTTGGCTTTTTTGCCTCTCTTTTTTAGCACATATACTCTAATTTGTCTACCGGCAATACATTTATCCAACACAATCGAATCAATAAAGAAATAAAATTTGTCATTGCAAATGAGAATGAGTTGAGCGTGCTGAGTAAGCATGTGTATATGTTCGGAACTATAATCGATGAGAGTCACAGAACCAGAGCATCTGTGTGAGTTACATGCAAACTCAGCAGACTGAGCGCTCAGATCAAATGATTTATCCATCCGATTTGCAGCGACTTAATAAAATCCGCTGCCTCTGCAATAGTAAGTCCTAAGATACTGTCTCAATGCAATAACATCAAATATTTTCCATCGAAACTATGGTAAATCGCTACGAAACTCTTGAGTTTAATTCAGGCCATATAAGTTTCAATTTCACAAATACTAGCGACAACAATTCCAGCCTACGCCCCTCACTAAACACATCATCAATTACGTTTTTGATCTTTTAACATTTGGAGGTACTAATTTTTGGGATCTTTGTGCCCATAAACAATGAGGAAATGATAGAAATAGGGCCGAGTTTGTATGACTTGTGATTGTACAAAATTAAATTCAATATTCAATTAGTTTGCATAGATTAAATCAAGAACGAAAATTAATTAATGTAACGTGCAGACGACACGCACAAAATAAAATGAAATTCTTTGCCAATTGGATTATATTCAATCAAATGGAATGTTTTACAGTGTATTGATCTTTAAATGAATGGAGAAGAATGAAAGATTTTCAATTCTCTTGTGCCTCATAAGTATTTATCAATTGTATTTGTCTGACGGGTGTTCAGTTCTGAACTGCGGCAGCTGCCTTTTGGCAGGCATATGTATGCTGTCAGACAGGAAAATGTGTTCAATGGTGATTCCGAACGACGTTCAAAAACAAACCTTTTTCGAATAAACTGAGCGTTAAGAATGACATTGAACCTTTACCTCAGTTCAATTTAATTTAGTTTTTAGCCACAAACTACTTTTATGGTCATTTGTGTCTGTAATGATAATTTGTAATAAAAATGCATTTATTTGTCCGTCTCTCATTCTCCTGCATGTCTCGTAATTCAGAAGTCTTTGGTTAAAAGTAGAGCCTTAAAAATACTAATAAACTTTATGTTTGGCGCATGTTTGTTATTACGATCCCGATATTTGTCAATTGCTGTTTATTGTCTGATTTATTACCGTAGCCAATGAAAAACTTTTCAGAATGAGAAACCATACCAAAAAAAAGTCTGAGACAGTATGACTCATGATTGTTACATTTCATATATTTACGGTCAGCACTTTATATTGCGTGCATATAGAGTTTCCGAGAGTGCACCCTTAGATGGAAAGATAAATAAAATAGGGGGCGAAGATTCATTGTTCTCGTATAGTTTATTTAATCCAAAAAATCGAAATTCTATCTATCAAACGCTTGCAATTAGGCAAGTAGTTTTGCCCGAAAATTCACATCGAATTGAAGTTATACAAATAGATTTGTTTACAAAGTAACATTATTTTCGTTTATTGTCGTACAGTGAACTTTTTCGGGGGGGAGTTTTGAAAGCAATTTTCTTCAGCTGAACAAATTTATGGGAGCGATTCCCAGGAATGACTTTCAGTAAGTTACATTTGTGTATGTACAATGTGCATACTGTGTTTGCTTAATGGTATTGATTTTGTTAGCAACAAAAGTTTGAAATCGCTGGGCAACCGCCACAGGAAACTGTTTCCAACGTTTCCATCGAAAGAAAAAATCAATAAAAAGAAATGCTATTTTTTCATGCTTTCATAATGTTTAATTTGCTTTATAGTTGATGGAACTATTGTAAGCTGACTCATAAATCTGAAGAGTAGACCCACAAATTCAGACGCACTTCCAACAAAGAAAGCAGAAAAGATTCGGTTCCAAAATTTGAGTATATTTCAAACAGTTCTGAAACCATGAAAGTCAAATAAATATTACAACATGGTGCATTGGTTTCACACATTGTGTTAGAGCGCCGTTATACAGTCTGTTTGAGAGCAGAGCCACAACTAGCTTTAGTTCGTCACGCAAACTATACATCAAACGTATCACACACCATTTTTTCAATAGCCTTCTCAGTGTGGCGTGTGTTTTCCATTCAAAAAATCTATAGACGAATCTTTCTCGGAGCAGGTAATAGTAATTACACAAAATACTATCGAAACACGACCAAACGATGTTATGAACTACGATTGCTTTTGACAAACACAATAAAAGTATTTAACATATTCATGCAGACATGCTCTCTTGCTGTTTTGGTGTTATTGTGTGGTTTTCACGTATAAAAGATATTCAGATTTTTATATGGTGTCACTCTATGTCAATCAACGGGCTCTTATGAATATTTTAAAATTAATTTTCGGAATTAAGATAAGCATATTTGATTCTGTCTAATTCCAAAAATTCTTTCCATTTCCAAAATCTTAATAAGTAGTTAATAAGTAGTTAATGATGTAAAATAAAATGTCCGGGTAATTTATTTTAAACTTCTCCCGCATTGTTTCCTTCAAATTTTTACGAATTTCTCTAAATTCATTTTGATTCAGTCCAAAAAAAATGTGCGTTTATTTATAGAATCGTTTCTTCTATGTGCCATCTCGATCAAATTGTTACATAATTATGTCAAAACACACAGGAAACTAAATAAAACCGGCATATATTTACAATTTATTGTTTCTTTATTCCCAATTCGATTCGTTGAATTGTGTGAAAATAGTCGACATCTTTTCTCTGTTTTTCGTTGCTCGATTTTTCTGTTCTCTGCAAGACTTCTCCTATTCTGATTCGACACTTTTAGCGAAGCGACTAACATCGTAAAAGTCATGCTGAATGCTGTCGTGTGGAATGTGGGGATTGTCAAAAAGAACTTTGTGTGTTTTGTTTTTCACACATTGTTTGCCATTAATTTTAACCGTCGCAACAAAAACTTTCTCTTTCCGATCATTATGTTTTAACGAATATTCACATTATTTGGATTCTCAGTTTGAAAAAAAACCAGCTAGTATTGAAAATCATTGTTCTGTTTCAAATGTGTGAATGTATGCGTGTGGTTTTTTGTCAATTTGGTTGTGGGTGTTTACTTGTTTCCTTTTTCAAATGCACTAACAGGCAGATGTTCATCACTACACGCACACATGCTATCTAGGGCAAAAATACATGAATAACTGCAGCAGTAGCAGCACAAATCCATTCTAAACAATGATGTAGGATATTCGACCGACATTTTTTGTCTGAATCTACTAAACAATTTTTACAAACTCATAATATCATTAAGAGGGGTTTAAGCATGGCCAAAATCGAATAGTTTGACTTAAAAGAAACGAAAAAAAAACTGTGTAGAAAAAAACTATGCAAAGCCTTTAATGGTCGTGTACTCACTTTGGTGCCGGTTCTCCTTCGGCTTCGCATTCAATCAAAAATGGTTTGTCGTTTTCGTTCTGTTGCTGAGCCACTTGATACAGTAACTCGTCGGTTGGCGGCTGTTTAATTATTCTGGGAGGCGAATGAACTACGGACAAATGTGAAAAATGCAGTATGTTAGAAACGAATAAAAGCATCAAATTAAAACCGAAAACAAAAACCATAAAAATATTTATAATGCATTCAATGCTTCCTTGCAACACACCAACGTTGTTGACATGCACGTAATCTTACACTTGGCTAGTGTTTGTATTGAACGCGGTGGAAAGTAGAGACGAAAACAATGGCAATTGCTTTGGAGGTTTAATTGAATTTTAGCTGTGGGCAGCCCATGTCAACAACCTCAATACGTAATTATTTATGCTAACCGAAAATCGGAAGTGGTTAAATGCACGATAGTTTCAGTTTTTTCGTAGCAGTTTTGGAATGAAAATCGAAAATTTATTGTTTTATATTCGAGAAAAATGAGTGTTTCTGGATTCGAAGAGATGGAATCTTTTTTCGAATTCAAAAACACTCATTTTTTAGAAAATAAAATCGAATCTTTTGAATTTTGAAAAAGAAAATGGAATTTCAAATTTTACCAACGAAAGTTTCTTCAAGAAATTTTTTTTTACTTACCCAATGCTTGTACTTGAAGTACAGCAATCAGTACGACTGTAAATGCTTGTAAATTTATTCGCCACATTTTAAATGCACATTTAGTTTTCAATTTGTTCAATTTAGTGTTCACTTCCACTAGCTATATCTTGTTTTTTTTTTCTTCTTGTGATTGAATTATTGGAACATCCAATATTTTCACCGTTTTGTTTTTAACATTTATATTTTATCTGCACACGATGTCGTACAATCAGATCGATTCGGCTTTCGTTCGATGCGGTTAACACTCTGAAATGGAAAGAAAAATTGGTTAATTGAGTACTTTTCCCCCCTAAGATTCTCATAAATCGAATGGAGAATTCAATTTGAATTCAAGAAATATGTCAATTGTTGTGTCATTCTCAAGCGATGTAATTTGAAGATAATGTTTGATTGAAGGTTAACCGTATGGCAATTGAATTAACTACACTTTTGGACTACTAAATCGAGTGTTTGCTTTGAATTGAAGTCTCCAACCCAATTACGGCAATGAACAAACACCTTACCAATTTGGTATCGTATTACTAGAAAAGTGATGGAAATAGAAATCGCAAAAGTGAAAAGTACAATAAATTAATTGATATCAAAAACCATCACGCTTTTCAACATGACTTAGATACGCTACGTGAAGAAGCTGTATGCCACAGCTCTTCAGTGAACAGCGTACAGTGTACAGTTTACAATGTCGCCTGCGTACGTCAAAACATTCGCAATGTTTAACAATGGCCGGTCACAACGGCGAAATTATTGGTTTCATATGTAATTATCAGCGACGGCATTCATTTCAAATGTGGAGCCATAGTAATTTCGTCTACACCGTGTCGTCAGTAAGTTAAAAAGTGAGGATAACGGACCGCGTATTATACTTGAATGAAAGTCGAAAACGAAAAGTTGTGAGCACTTCCAAGTTGAAAAAAAAATCCAGCACAAATACACACACACATACTTCTCTCTCGAATGAAAACAACAATTCCGCCACTTCTCGTCGACTGTTGTCAGAAAATTTCTTATTTTGACTATTTTGCCAACGAATAATTCAACGCGATATCATAATCTGTCCGCTCTTTTTATATCTGCACTTATTAATTCGTCCTTATATTGTTGATAACATTTTTCAATTGATTACATAAACACCACCTTAATTCGCAGTTCGTCGTTGTTTATGGTATTTTCTTTTATTTACTTCTTTTCTCTGGTGATAACCGTTCAAAATTTCATTCTGCTGACAACACGACATCGGAATAAAAAAAAATCCGATGAATGTCTACGTATAATATTCGTTCCAAATACAAATTTTTGTAATATGACGTCATTTTAATGGGTGAACCCTATTTTCAGAACTGTATATGATATTTTTAAAACCACAACGAATTGTTTATAACTTTGGATATTTGTTTTTATTTGTCATCCAATGACTAATTCACTGTGATTCTTGGAGAGAGTGAAAACAGAGTCTGAGTTTTTTTTTTCATTTTTTCATATTTTACGAACTTTTTATGTGTTTCCCAAGTGAATGAGGCCTATTATTAAAGAGCCGAAGAAAAATGCATAACAATTTTCGGATCACTATATACTGCTCTGAATGTATTCATAATCCAATCGATTTCAATGTAACAATTTTGAATTTATGAGTTTTTAATGAGCGCACACTGCCGAAATGGTGCTTCAAAAATAGACAGATTTTTTCCGATCAGTTCTATAAATGAATGTAAATAATAAAATCAACTCATCCCGCATGACCCAATTTCAGACTCAAAACAGATAAAGACGTCGTTTTGAAAATGAAATCAAATTACTATGAACAACGGTCAATGTATCGTTTATCCAAAAGCGATAGTACTTTGCCTAATTCATACTGAATGAACGTGAGTATTGAATGGCACAGAGTTGAATATCATTTTACAAAATTTAAAGACTGATTATTAATCATTCAAAACTCCGTTGTTTGTATGTAGTTGAAATTGAAAACAATTTTTCAATTCGATTTATTCAAATAGCGCGGAACATAGAGTCGAAGTGTGCGTGTGCGTTAATTTTTCAGAGTATATTCTTAGAGTCCATATAGCATATTTTTGTTCGATTTTTTTTCTGCTTCTCTTTCTCTTTCGCTTGCAAATGAATGTGTAGTTGTACACGATACCCAGAGAGTTATATATAGCGCTTATGGCATAACATCAAAATGTAGTGACCAACGAAACGCTCCAATAAAAAGCATATCGGCGATCGCTTGAAAGTGAGCGAATCAATATATGTAGACGAGTGAGAGAGGAAAAATGAACAGAAATTACAATTTACACAGAATAGAACCGACAGCACACATGTATGCTAGAGACACTGGCAATGTTTGTTTGCCGTTCGATTCGCTCAAAAAAAATTTCTCTTCTCTTCTGTTTTTTTTTCTGATACAACTAAAACTACACACCACCTTAGAACAATAATAACCCATACGTATAGTGAGTGTGAATGTGTAATAAGCGAAACATGATATACTCTTTGAAGTAGCATTTGTTAGACGGTGTTTCATGTGTGTGGACGGCGTTTTATTTTTCTCTCTCGCGCGCGCTGGATACACCACGCTACGGGAGTGTGTCTATAGGCGTGCATTTAACCGTCGAATGTTGGGTCAAACTGAAGAAACAAAAAAAGAGCATAATTATATCTAGTGAAATGACGTCATGTTTTGTGTGTTCCTTGAGAGAGACTCTTATGTTCGCCTGGTTTTTTTTTGTCGATATCATTTTAGAAGAATCCATTTATTTCAAATGAACAAAGCTTCAGTTGGGAATCTAAGCCATTGCTTATAGAAAATCGTATGGAAAAAATAACTGGGGCTACATTTAATGAGCACATTTTCTCGAATAAATGATATCATCCGATATGATACGCATCTTGCGATATGTCATAGTCAGCGGTCACAAAAGACGAAAAATCCTTCAATCTTTTATTCAGAATTCAGCTTTGCATATTGAGACTTATGTCATGTTCCCGATTTTATTTATTTTTTGCAAACGCTTTGGCGGCGTCATGATTCATTTACCGATTAAAGTTTTAATCACTTAAGTTTGAAATTCGAACTTGGAACAGTGTTTAACCACACACACAAACACAAATAAATACGAGAAGAAGAAGCTCATTTGGAAACTATTAGGCGTGTGTAGCCACTTTTTGTGCCTTAAATTAATATTGACGGTCTGTGGTCAACAAATCTGTCTGATGGCGGCCTTTTTTACTTTTTGAAAATAATGGGAAAATTTAAGGTGTCAAATGCTTATGCGCCAAGCAAAGAGCGTTTCATGAGCACTGAAATATCGATTAAATCACTTTTGGATAGTAAAAAGAAATCAAATGTCATTATCAAAAAAATTATTTTTCCTATGATTCCCGAAGTTGGAAAATCGATGTTCTTTTCCATGACTTTCGTTTTTCATTCAATCTCGGAAGACCTTCATTCTGAATAAATGTATGGTCTTCATCAAAATATACAGTCACAGTGTGTACCAATTATTGAACACCGCGGAAAATAAGCGCATCATTTCCCACTGTCAATAATCATATCGATTTTCGTTTCAAACGAATGAACACTTTTAAATACCACATTGGCGACTATGTTCTTCATTTCATTTACAAAACACAAAAAATAAAATCATCAAATGTCGATCTGCTGTGATGTTCGGGTTTTGGTTGAGCTATGAGAGGTGCCATTCAAAGTGAAGAAGTAAGGAAATACGGCGAACGCGCGCGCGAACGCTATTACGACATCCATGAATATACACACAATCGCATACACACAGCGTAACTCGTTCACAATATTTTATAACATCATCACATACAAATCATTCTTTTGATGTCATATTCTAACACTGGATTTCTGGTTCCAACATATATATACCCAAATATTATATGCACATAGCATAACACGTTAATATGATTTTTTTTTCTTCCGTTTTCCACTCTATATTTCAATTGCCAATAGAAAAAACCACGAATAAAATTGGATAATATTTTTTTGTTGCTTCTCACTAAATCGAAGCCGATGACTTCATGCGATCAATAACACGAATCTTCCATTCTACAGCACCATTTTATTTGCTGCCCAAATTTAATCCAATTTGCAAATACACACTTATCGATGACACCGAACAACTTAAAACTAATTGGTTATCGTAATTAATATTTCTCGGTAAAAATTCGCATTACTTCGTCTGTTTTTTTCTTCTCGTTCACAAATGTTATTTAGGCGTGGTACATTCTACGGCCATCGTACTTTTTTTTTAATATGAAATCCACTAACTCAACTCCGACCGTCGTAGTTGTATTCAACACAGCAAACACACTGATGTGTTTCGAATACTTGCCGTAGCTCAATGGTGTCTGTATGCATACTGTTTTCACTTAACGCACCGCAGCCTACGAATATGGTATGCGAACAACCGAACCGAAGCGTTGCCAACATTGAACAAATAATTCACTGACAACTCACTTATACACACGCAGTCGCAATGCTGTGTGCTTGTGGTAGTGCGTGCGTGAAATGGTAGTACACGACAGTGGTCGTATGATGCAGTATGATTTAATCGGATGTTCGTTGGCTTTTTTCTAATCGAAATCTTGATAAGTTCCAGTAGGTAAAAATAAATGCACTGGATTTACTTGCAATGTTTAATTGAAAATGGATTTTCCTTTCACTTCAATCATTTTTCGCACGTTGATTGTTTCCTCTAAAAAAGGGCGGTAACTTCAAATCACAGCAGAGATATCAACCCGTGATGTCATCAAACACGCAAACCAAATTCCATTGACATTCAAATTCATTGTGATTGACAAATATATAAAACACTCTAAACATGCCATTGCCGTTTCAGTCTTTTGACAACATTCAATGTGCTTGGGCGCTGAGACAAGGATTTTTTTTATTTTGAATTCAATTCCGTAAAACAATCATTTCGACTGAAAAATGACCCAATTACCGTACAAAGTTGGTGAGTTGAGAGTTTTCATTGAAAAATCCAATTTTTTTCTTCGTCCTTCTTCGTATACGAAGGATTTGTATTCAAATTACTGAAAAGATAAACATCAAAACGCACGTGTCGGCATTTTTCTAGGTTATAGTGTGTGTTTGTTTTTTTTTAAAGCCCATCAAATTGATTAGGTAATAATTTTGTGTAAACCCTTTGTCATTTAATAGCTGATATCTCGTTGGCCGAATGGGGACGTAAGGAGATCGTTTTGGCGGAAAATGAGATGCCTGGTTTGATGGCATGCCGCAAGAAGTACGGTACATCGAAGCCGTTGAAAGGTGCTCGTATTGCCGGTTGTTTGCATATGACCATTCAAACCGCTGTTTTGATCGAGACATTGACCGAATTGGGGGCTGAAGTTAGTATTTTTGTTCTTTAAAGATTGATAACGAACGTATGATGTCGTGTGGTGTCGTATGATCGCTGAAGCTATTATTATTTATGACTCATGCATCATTTTCAAAATAATTTAAATCAAAATTCGTTCATTTATTTAATCTTGTCTGACAGAGCATGATTTGCAACTCCCATGGGGTTATCAGATGACATTTTCCGTTTATATTTTTTTCTCAAGTTATTCAGCATTTTTGAATGGAGCGAAAAAGTTTCTTATCATTTCCCTATGATCATGCGTTATATTTTTAAACGTCTAAAGAGGATGTCTAAACAATTGAGTTGATAATAATCATTTTTTTGTTTGGTATTGTTAAATATTCCAGGTTCAGTGGTCATCTTGTAACATTTTCAGTACACAAGATCATGCAGCAGCTGCTATTGCTGCTACTGGCGTCCGTGTGTTTGCCTGGAAAGGTGAAACCGACGAAGAATACCTTTGGTGTATTGACCAGACGCTTCTCTTCCCAGACGGACAACCATTGAACATGATTCTAGATGATGGTGGTGATCTCACTAACTTGGTATGATACGAGAGATTCAATCAATCCAGATTTGATATTGCTATTCAAAATAAACTGTTTATAAACCGAAATCTCTCAACAGGTCCATGAAAAATACCC